ATGAATAGAGCTGAAAGACATTTATGCTAAATGAAGTCAGACATAGAGACAGATGTCTCCTGCTCTACCTTTTATGTGGACGCCAAACAAGCAAACAGGAGCTAGCACTGCGGGGCAGCAGGCAGAGCTCCCAGAACTCATCTCATATGGGCATCACTTCGAGTCCCGGCTGCTCCATATCTCATCCAGCTTCCTGCTGTGTCACGGAAAGTAATGGAAGATGCCCAAGGGCTTGGATCCCTGTCACCCACGGGGGAGAGCTGGATGAAGGCTCAGGCTCCTGACTCTGGCCTGGTCAGTGTCAGCCTGTGCAGCTCTCACTCTCCCTGTGTAACGCTGCCTTTCCAATACAGAAATAAATCTTCAAAACATAAAAGAGAAGATAATGTACTGAAAAGGACATGGAAATCATAATTGACCATATGGATCAGTACACACTGCACACATGCAATAAAATGCCACAGTGTCCAGAAACACATACAGTAATCATGCGTGTGTACATCAGGGTACTAAGCATGTAAGGTCCCAATTCTGAGTGTGAGGCTCTTCTAGCATGGATTCTGATTCAGGACGTTTCTCTCTCTTGCTCTCTCTCTCTCTGTCTCTCTCTCACACACACACACACACACACACTCTTGCACCAACTCTATAAAACCATCTGCCTTGGCACACACAGTCCTGAAGAAAAGACCCGAGGCCTCTTCCACCCACCAGACTCCAGAGGACGCCACAGGGGAGCCCTGCCTGCCCAGCCCAGCCTCAGATGGGGCAGCCCTGGCTCTCAGCTCCACTGGAACAGTCTGAACAGAAGCCTCAGTCAAACTCCCTGCTTCCTGATCTCAGAGACCAGGAGCCAGGCAGGCAGGTAGCAGAAGTTTGATCCGCTCCCTTTGGGATATCTCTACCCCACCTCAGAGCCCCATTTGCCTCCTGGCTGCTCCACTTAGGACCCAGCTTCCTGCTGGTGCCTCCTGGGAAGAGGCAGAGGAAGGCTTGGAGACCGGGACCCCTGCACCCACCAGGGAGGCCTGGGCCGGGTCCTGGGCACCTGACTCCTGCCTGGCCCAGCTCCAGCTGCTGTGGCATCTGGGAGAGGAATAACAGAAGTTGTATCAAGTACATGAAAATAAACACATGAACAGTTCTACATAAAATAGTGGAAGAAAATAAACATTTGTTTCTTTCTTGCTTCCAGGTACTAAATTATGGAAAATTTGTTATGTGCCGTAACGACTGAAACAGCTTCCAAAGAGCATGAATTATTGCAGTTTAGTGACTCTAATAGAAATAAACATGATCAACATGTCCGTTGGCTTCAAGATACAAGAATGGCCATGCTTCATCAGGATGCATTTCATCACTGTTCTACACTTGACTTTAGCCAAAGGGCAAAAAAGCAGTCATTACTATTCAAAAGACTCTATCTGACCTTCCATTTTCAACCTGAATTCATTTGAATGTCCAAGGAAGGGAAAGCCAGGCAGCCTGATCCTATAGTGGCCTGGGCAGTTGCACACAGCCCAGTATTCAATCAACTGCTGATGTAGATGCCACTGGGAAGGGATTTTAAAAATGAAATGAAGGTCTCCATCAGCTGGCCCTGAGACAGGGGTTACTCTGGGTTGGTCTGTCCCTTCTGGGGAGCCTTTCAAAGGACTGCGTTCTCCCTGTGTGCAGATACACATGGCTGTCACTCTCTCTCAGTAACAGCCATTCTGACAGGGCCAGGGGACATCTCCTTTGGTTTGCATTCCCCTGACAGCTGATCCTGTTAAGCATTTTCCATGTAGGGGTCGTTTCTAGTTCTTTCAAGAACTGCCTATTAGGTCTTTTGCCAATATCTTACCTTGATTGGCTGGTATGGTTTTGTTTGATCGGATTGGGCTTAGTCTGGTTTTTAACAAATGCAAGCAAGATATGAAGAAAGGGGAAATCGTATACAATGCTGTTGGGATCATAAATTAGGACAACCATGATGGAAAACAGTTTGGGGATTTTTCAAAATCTTTTAACAGCAGTTTCCACATGAACCAGCAATCGTACTCCTGGGCACACAACAAAAGACATGACTGATTGTGTCACAATGGAAAGCTCCACAGCGTACAGCAGCACTGCTCACAATGGTCAAGATGTGAAATCAACTAAGATATCCATCGTCAGATGAAAGGATGGAGAAAATACAGTATGCACCACAATGGAATACTGTTCACCTATACAAAGAGTGATGCCTTGGTCAGGGAGCAGTGGCCTAGTGGATAAGTCTTCACCTTGAACACACCAGGATGCCATATGTGTGCCGGTTCTATCCCAGCAGCCCAGCTTTCCATCCAACTCCCTGCTTATGGCCTGCGAAACCAGTCTAGGATGACCCAAAGCTTTGAATTCTTTTTTTTTTTTCTTTTAAGGATTTATTTATTTTGGGGCCCGGCGGCGTGGCCTAGCAGCTAAAATCCTCACCTTGAATGTGCCAGGATCCCATATGGGCACCAGTTCTAATCCTCAACTCCACTTCCCATCCAGCTCCCTGCTTGTGGCCAGGAAAAGCAGTCGAGGACAGCCCAAAGCCTTGGGACCCTGCACCCGCATGGGAGACCTGGAATGAAATTCCTGGTTCCCGGATTCAGATTGGCGCATCACCAGACTGAAGATCTTCCTCTCTGTCTCTCCTCCTCTCTGTGTATTTAACTTTGTAATAAAAATAAGTAAATCTTTTTTGGGGGCGGGGAGATCCCAGCGTGTTCAAGGTGAGGACTTTAGCAACTACACCACATTGCCGGCCCAAAATCTTTGAATTCTGCACTCCTGTGGGAGACCTGAAAGAAGTTCCTGACTCCTGGCTTCAGAATGGTGCAGCTCTGCTGTTGTGGTCACTTAGGAAGTGAATCATCAGACAGAAACTCTTCCTCTCTGTCTCTATGCCGCTCTGTATGTCTGACTTTGTAATAAAAAAATAAATAAATAAATCTTTTTTAAAAAAAGGAGTGATAGTTGATGTCCTTTCATTTGTATCAACATGGCTGGAACTGAAGGACATCATGCTGAGTAAAATGAGCCACAAAATGAGACAAATACCGCATGTTCACCTTCATGTGGGAGCTGGAAATTTAAAAATAAACCTTGAATCTGTACACAGGAGTAGGGGAGTTAGAGGAATTGTGACCAAGTTAAAGAGAGGGACTCAGCTTGGGAGGGGTTCAGTGTAACACATGCCCCTCTCTCCGGCAAGCCCCTGACTCTGGAGGACCCTGGGGCAGAGAAGGTGGCACCCTGGGGCTGGGAGAAGCTTCCCCCTGCACCCTGACAGCTGACCCACAAACAGGACTCCAGGCCTCCACCTGCACGGAGCTGGACTCTGCCCCCAAGCTCCAAGGAGGCTTGTGGAGGACTCCAACACCAAGACACCAACTCAGCTCTGTGAGAGCCTGCCCAGAGAGCACGGCCACACCAGGCCTGGAGTCTGACATGAAATGAACAAGGAAGGAGTGTGGTTCTGAGCGACCAGGTGTGGTACCTGTGATGCAGGAATGGAAAGGGAGCAATACTCATGCTCCAGTGTGCACCTGACACCCCAGGAAGTGTCATCCTTGCTGGAGGGATTCGTGAACTCTCGTGAACACTCCTCCCATGAGACAAAACCTTCTCCAATGTTTGCTGCACTATTTATTTTATGATTGTCACATTATACAATTATATTACAATATAATCTTGTTCAGGTCTTTGAATTAATTGAGTACCTACGTCAGCAAAGATGACTCTGTGTGCTGGAGTTGCAGTTTTGACCAACAGCCTAAGTCTCTACATTCTAGAGGTTTCCCTAAAGTGAGATGCAGCCAGCAGAGTGGGTCATGGAAAGGTGCATTTTTTGCTTTTTGTTTATTTACATGAAAGGCAGTGTCAGGGAAGGCACTGTGGCGCTGGGCAGGGTAAGCTGCCACCTGCAACCCAAGCACCCCAGATGAGAGCACCTGTGTGACTCCTGACTGCCCTGCTCGCTGCTCGCCCACCTGGAAAGCAGGGGAACATGGACCTGGTGCTTGGGTCCCTGCATCCACATGGAAGCCTAGTTGTAGCTGTACACTCCTGGCTCCAACCCAGGACGACATAGTGGCCCTTTGGAGAGTGAACCAGTGAGTGAGAAATCCCTTGGGGATTTTCTGCTGCCTTCCCAGGTACATCAACAAGAAGGTGGATGCAAGTAGAACAGCCTGGACTCCAAGAAGCCCAGGACGTGTGATGTTAACCTTGCAAGTGGCACTTATCTCACTGCACCACAGCAAATGCTGCTGCCGCTGAGCTGTTTTCATGAAGCAATGATCCCCCTGACTCACATCAGCAAGGCAGCTGAGCACAGCGGGAATAGTTTCCCTGCATGGCAGGAGAGGGGCCCTGCTAGTGCCCTAGTTCAGGACTGAGAAGGAGACCACAGGGAAAAGGGAAAATGACAGGGGGAGGGCTGAGAGGAGGTGACGACAGGGGCAGAGGTCAGGACTCTAAAGCAGCAGGTGCCCAGGGTTCCATGTGCTTTGCCCTGGATAGTATCAGAAATGTCCACAGCTTAACTGAGATTCCTGCATTCAACATTTAATCCATCATGCGGGGCTGCCTGAAATTTAATGTATTTCTGATGTGAATCAAGTTGAAAATAAAACATGCACAACTTAGGCATAAATAATCATAAAAATAGGCAAATAAAAATGGGCACGTCCTGATCAGGTCTCTCAGGATCCCTCAAGCGGCCCCGGGCCTATCCTCAGGAGGGGACATCACACAGGCCTGGGTCAGGGCACAGGGTCAGGGCACAGTCCCTGCTACCCGCCTGGCCCTCAGGGTCTCAGTCCCGGGGCGGGTCTGGGCCAGGGAAGCAAGTGCAGGGGAGTCCTCACTTCCTCCAGGGTCACTTCCCCTCTCACAGCCTGAGTGAGCTGCTTCTGCCCGGATACAAGTGACGTGGGCACACTTCGCTCCCATTGGGCAAGCGCTTCCAGCGGAACCAGACAGCGCCGCCCAACTCGGATCTGATCTCCTCAGCCGTCCAGGATGGAGTCCATGGCGTCCCGTACCCTCCTCCTGCTGCTCGCGGGGGCCCTGGCCCTGACCAAGACCCGGGCGGGTGAGTTCGGGTCGGGAGGGAGACGGGCTCTGCGGGGCAGGAGCGAGGGGAGCGCGGAGGGGACACGGAACCCCGGGGAGCCGCCTCAGTGCCGCCCTCAGCTCAGACGTCCCCACTTCAGTCCATCCCGCCCTCCCCTCACCCAGACCTTTCGCCTGATCAGGACTTGCCCATGCTTCCTATTCTGTCCCATGAACCCTCGGACCCTTCCTACACGGCCGCCCCAGCGAACTTTAACACCACCACCTCTTAATCCGGGCGGGATCGGCCCTGGTCTCAGCCCCTCTCTCCCCCAGGCTCCCACTCACTGATGTATTTCATCACCGCCGTGTCCCTGCCCGAACTCGGGGAGCCCCGCTTCATCGCCGTGGGCTACGTGGACGACACGCAGTTCGTGCGCTTCGACAGCGACGCCAAGAACCCGAGGATGGAGCAGCGGGCGCCGTGGATGCAGCAGGTGGGGCAGGAGTACTGGAAGGACCACGAACAGCTTGCTAAGAAGCACACAAAGGATTTACGCGGCTACCTGAGCGACCTGCGCAGCTACTACAACCAGAGCGAGGAAGGTGAGTGACCCGACCCTCCCCACGTGCGCCCAGGGCGCTCCGGGTCCCCGGGGCCGAGGTCCCCCCACCCCGAGACTGTGCGCCCCGCGGAGACCCTCGGCGGGAGGAGCCCGCGGGATGCACCCGGGTTTCATTTTGGGTTTCAGTGAAAATCCTTGCGGTTTGGTTTTGGCGGGGGGCGCAGCTGCGTGGCCAGGGCTGACCGCGGGCGGGGACAGACCCTCACACGCTCCAGCATCTCTACGGCTGCGAGGTCGGGGAAGATGGGCGCTTCCTCCACGGGTACTCAAGGTTCGCATACGATGGCAAGCAACACATCTTCCTGAATGAGGACCTGCGCACCTGGATTGTTGCTGACAAGCAAGCTCAGATCACCAAGCGCAAGTGGAAGAATGCAGGTGTGGCTGAGCAGCACAGAGCCTACTTAAAGTGGCAATGTGTGAAGTGGCTGAGAAGATTCCTGGAGTTGGAGGAGAGACTAAACCGCACAGGTGCACAAGGCTGGTAGGGGCTGCCCTCACCCACCTCCCCTTGGGCTGGGGTTGGGTCTGTGCAGGAGGGGAGGAAAGTAGGATCCAGACCTATGTCCATCTCTCCTCATGACCACAGTGGGGATGTCCTCTTGGGTTTTGGGTCCAGAGACAGAGACCCACCCTTCCCGCAATGTACAAGAGGGACCTGGATTGAGCAGGCATAGACGATTCTGAAACGAATCCTCTTGGTGCCCTGGAGTCCCACTGGATCCTGTGAGCTGTGACCCCTCCCAGGCCTACCTCAGCCTCAGGCCAATGCACTGGGAAGATTCACGCCAGGGTTCTCAGTCTCTCAGCCTCCACTCAGGACAACACCAAATCCCTTTCACCCAATAAGAGACCCGGGTCCTCCCAGCCTGAACCATACCTGATTCTTTATCTACATCTTTGCAACAACAGATGATCCCATTGTCTTTATCCAGGCCAGGTCTGAGCTTGCACTGCTCCCCCACCCCTGTCCTCCTGTCCACTCTCAGGATGGTCACTGAGTGCAGCTTTGGTGTCACATGAAGAACATGAAAGGCCTGAATTGTCCAAATCTCCCCTCAGACCCACCCACAGCACATGTGACTCACCACCCAGTCTCTGACCAGAAGGCCACCCTGAGGTGCTGGGCCCTGGGCTTCTACCCCAAGGACATCACACTCACCTGGCAGCGGGATGGGGAGGACCTGACCCAGGACATGAAGCTGGTGGAGACCAGGCCTGCAGGGGATGGAACCTTCCAGAAGTGGGCAGCTGTGCTGGTGCCTTCTGGAGAGGAGCAGAGATACACATGCCACGTATACCATGAGGGGCTGCCTGAGCCCCTCACCCTGAGATGGGGTAAGGAGGGCAGAAACTGGCAGAGCCTTCAGCAAGGGCGGAGCTGAGACCTGGTGTCAAAGCCCCTTATTGTCCCTTCCCCTCTCAGAGCCTCCTCGGTTCACCGTATCTGTGTGGGGAGTCATCGCTGGCCTGGTCCTCCTGGCAGCTGTGCTCATTGGAGCTGTGGTCACTGCTGTGATGATAAAGAGGAAGTGCTCAGGTAGGGCAGGGTGAGGGCTGGGTCTGAGTCTCCTGTCCCCCAGGGAGAAGGTCCCCCTACCCCGTTCCTGGGAAGCAACATGCACACACACCTGCATCCCCAGCTGGGCCCCAAGTGCTCACACTGGTTCTGGTGTGAACAGCGAGTGAAGGTGCACCATGAACACTCCACAGGGATGACACTGCTCGCAGGGACCTGAGTTCCAACAGCTGCAGGTCAGAAGGAGGTCCCAGCTGAGGACACACCTCCAGGAAAGGTGCCTCCTGACCCTTTCCTGGGTCTGTATCCACAGTTCTGGAATCTTCTCTGAGATGACCCAGTCCCCTCGACTTCCTCTAGGCAGGTCCTCAGCCCCTGCCTTCTCCCTGCCTCTCACTACTTGTTTTCTCTCACAGGTGGGAAAGCAGGGAGCTACACTAGGACTATAGGTAAGCACTGGAGTGTGTTTGGCGGTGTGGGGGAGTCCCCAAGACCCCTGCCATAGTCAGATGTCCATGGAGAAGCTGCCCTGTCCACCCAGTAGCTCCTCCCGCAGCCACACCTCCAGGGTTCTAACCAAGTCCTGATTGGTTCTCCCAGGTGGGGACAGTGTCCATGGCTCTGACAGCTCAATCATAGCTTCAATGGTGAGACCTGGAGGTCCTGGAACAGGGAGGGGTGGTGGGTCTGAGGGGAAACAAAGGAGCTGAGGGATTCCTTGCATTTGCGCATTTTTGTGTGTGTTTGGCTATTGCTGTCCCCATGTGCAGTACCTTAATTGGTCACCTTGTTTCTGTAGTGTGAGACAATTGCCTTATTTGGGACAGAGGGATAGAATCTTGCTCAAGTCTTCATCCTGTGTCTTCACAAAGCCCCACCCTCCCTTCCTGCACAGGCATCTGAGTGTGTTCCTGTGAGCACAGCGTGATGTTGGGACCTGGCCTTCCTACCCAACCTGGGCACCTCTATCTGTCTCAGGGCAGGTGGACCTGCTGCAACTTCATCCTTCCTGTGCAAACCTAAACAACATAACATTTTTTCCAATTCCAATTAGGATGTTTTGGTGGAAAATTTTAAAGAAAATTTCAAAAATTGGACAGAAAAAATAAACAGAAACACCAAGAACCTTCCTGAAAACATGTGTTTGTTTTATTGTGTCGGCTGCAGGTGGGACAGGAGAGGCTGGGAGATTCTTGGTGAGGACAAGCTTGTGTCCAGGGATTGTCAGTCATCAGGCTTTGTTGTCAGTGCTGACCCAGCTCAGCTGCCCCAGTGTCCTGGTTTCTCTGGCAGGACATTCCCACCAACATCTGCCATCACAGGACTCAGCTAGGCTTGCCTTGTCTCACAGACCTGAAATCAGTGGAGGCTGGACGAGGTAGTGACAGTCAAAGCTCACACTTGGGTGTTGGCAACGCCTGCGTCACCACGTACAGAGACAGACAAGACAGACAACACACTGAGGCTCATTCTTGTGAAGTGAAGCCCTTTATTCAAAGTCGAACTGCTCTTATATAGTCTACTTGGCCCCTCCCAGGATTTTCCCAATGCTTAAACAACTAAGCTCCCCGGAGGATGTGCAAAAAGAGGAAGCAGGAAGGAGGGAAATTGCAGTCAAACCCCAGGCTAAATGTATCAGGCCATGATTGCCCTTCCTGTTACACCTTTGAGAAACAAGCTGTGCTGTGGAGTTAACCCTTGGGAGACCCGGCCATGCACTTGGGTTCAGCCATGGGCTCCCATCTTCCTGTGTTCATTCTGTTCCTTAGTGTTGTTGGCCTATTGTACCTGCTCTTCCTGTGTGTGAGCTCTGGTAGGTTTCACTTCTGTGTGTGCAGGAGGCAGTGTGGGAGGGAGGGCAGAAGACACTTGTGAGGAACTACAGGCTGTGTGGACACCAGAGGGAGAGGACGCCGCTCTGTAGTGCCCACAGTTGTCTTCTGTCTCAGGCTCCACTAATGAATCCATGGGGGTTGGAAAGGGCAGGTACAACATGCACATCACTCAGCTCACATTTCTGTTGGCCAGACCCAGTGCTGGGCAAGGTTGTTCAGAGTTAGTGAGAGTGTTGGGGCAGCTGGCTTTTTCACCATTATGGTCAGTGTGCACTGCCCTAAGGGGGTGACCCTGAGGAAGGTTGGAAGGATACAATGAGTCACCAGCCAAGGTTTCTGGGCAGGTGCTGTGCAGGCAGTTGATGGCCAGTGCAATTGTCCTAGACAAGAGCAAGTCTGCACTCAGGGCAGGGAGCTGTCAGGAAGGCTGGATCAGGCACCACCATCCAGCAGGACACATGCTCACTGGAAGGCCCAGCTCTGGCTCTGAGTGAGGTGGGAGCCACAATACAGCTACAAGCAGAGGAAGGACGTGTGCACCTTCTCCTGTCCAGGGACCATCCTGGCTGCTGTGTGAGAATTGGGCTGATAGACTGCAAGGCTAGAGACAAAATTCTAGGGAGCTTCTTCAGTGTCCAGGCAGGGATACCAGTCACTGTAGTGTGTGTGGGCAGAGTGGAGAGATGATGTTCTGGATCCTTCTGCAGCTGGATGCACAGCTCTTCCTGTGGACTGCATCCATGTAATGAGAAGGAGGGGGTGAGGAGGACACCCAGGGCCTCAGGCCATGCCAGTGGGGGGATGGCATCACCATATGAGGACAACCTGGGAGGTCGGATCCCAGGATGGGCCACCCAGGCATTCAGTATAGGAGTGGTGGCAGCTGAGACATCATTGAGAAGTGACATTCTGGGGCTGATGGTTACCATGAGTCAGGGGCTGAGGGGATTGTCTACACTGAAGACATACTGTGGAAGTAGCTCACAAGGAGTACGTTTGTAGACAGGAGTGGAGATGGGACATTCAGTGAATGAGTAATTCTGTTGAGAGCAGGGACAGGAACAAGCCATCACATGTCAGTTCAGCCATAACTCTGCCTCTTGTTCCTGTTTATCAGACTTCCTTAAAAAAAAATGAAATAAATCTTTTTTTAAAAATCTAAAAGTAACATTCTTAGTGGTAAGAACACATTTAAACAGATGGAGAAATATTAGCCAGTGTAAAGCAGAGAGGAAACATTCCAGGAAACAGAAGAGAACGGAACAAATGCAAAGGGGCACTGGAGACTGATAGACACAAGAAAGCAACAGACACAATGGTGTATGGCATTACTATGACTGATACCCAAGCAACATTCAGCAAGTAGTTACCTGAATTGCAGCAACAGCCAGAACTCCACCAGCAACAAGGTGGGAAGGGACATTCACCAGGAGCTCAGGAGGTGAAGCCAGACAAAGAAATGCCCATCCTGCTGGTCTGCTTGATTTGACCAGGAGCAGAGACAGAGCAGAACCCAGACGGGCAGTGCGAGAACAGGGTGGATTTCACAGCCTAGTCTGCCCCCTAGAGCCTTATCAGGAACCATTTCGTTTAAGGAGGAAAGGCACACATATTTATGTATGCCTTAGATGAGAGTGAACTCATTTCTGGCTCTGTAAACTGCACCAGCATGGCATCCTACAGTTTCCATCCAAGATAGATTCAGGTAGCCCTCAGACCTGATGGCCAGCAGATCAAGGAATCTAGTAGTGGCACATCAGGTGCCGTTTTATAAGGGTGTGGCAAAGGCTTTAAGACTGCAGGGACAACAGTGAGTATGCATGCGCTGAGCTCGATGAGAACTCACTGAACTCAGTGCATTGAACTGGTCCTACAGGAAAATAATACCAACTATGGCATCATATAGGTCAAGATAGGTCTGTGTGGCCCTCAGAACTAATGGCCAACAGGTTCTGGCAAGATTACCACCAACAGCAACCTAGCTATATAGGACTCCTGGTGCCTCCTTAATTCTTGGACCTGCTCCAACCTGAAGTGGCAGAAAGGCTGTACAGACAATGGTGCATCCTCAGCACCATGGTGGTGGGGCTGGGGCTATGGAAACCATGGTGGAAATCTAACATAAGAACCCAGACCTGGAACTCGCTGGAGAGAGTGGCACAAGTGAGTGCAAACAAAGGACCAGGTACCAACTGCAAATAAATAAAATCAAACTGTAGACCTATAAGCAACATGGCTTAGAAACCTGCCCCAACGAGAAGACTCTGCTAACCAGAAGTACAATGACCAAGAGCAAAAGAAGAGACAAAGGCACAATGAATAGTACTGAGGAATTCCTTGCAAAGGAGCAAAGCCCTTTGCTAACCTCAGAGTTAACTGAGGAAGACATCAAGAAAATGGAGGGTACAGAATTCAAAATACTTGTTACAAAACATCTTATCAACAACAAGAAGCACATAAAGCAGGTATTCAAGGAGTTTAAGGAATATGTCACACTGGAAATGAATCAAATAAAAGTTGATATATCAGAAATGAGGAATATGTGGAGCAAATTAAAAATACTGTGAAGAGCCTCCAAAATAGAATGAAGCAGGCAGAAGAAGGAATCTCAAAAGTAGGTGTTTCCTGTCACCAGGGGGAAACAAACAAAGCTGGAAGCGGAGCTGGGTCAAGCTAAAAAAAGCATTCAAGAATTGAATGACACTATTAAGAGGCCAAATATAAAAGTTATGGGAATCCTAAAAGTTGCAGAAAAAGAGCTGGGTTTACAAAAGTATTCAACGAAATAATAAGGGAAAAGTTTCCTAACCTAGAGAAAGAATTGAAAAACAACATGCAGGAGGGCACAGAGCTTTCAACACGGTTGACCAAAAGCAATTATCACTGTGACACATGGATAATCAAGCTCTCTTCAATCAAACATAAAGATTCTTTGATGTGCACATGAAATGAATCAACTGACATACAAAGTAATGCCAATTAAACTCACAGGAGATCTCTGACAGGAAACTCTACAGGCAAGAAGAGAATGGAGTGACATATTCCAGATTCTAAAAGAAAAAAGTATCCAGCAAAGCTTTCCTTTGTCTTTGAAAATGAAATAAAATTCTTCCACAGTACAGAAAAGCTCAAAGAATATGCCTCGTCCAAACCTGCCCTACAAATGATATTTAAAGATGTTCTCTTGACAGAGAAGAGGAATAGCACCCACCAAGAATATCCCAGCAAAATAACAACAAAAGACTAAATCAATGAACAACCCATTGCTAAAATGACAGGACCAAATTACCACCCATTCATATTAACCCTGAGTGTAAATGGCTGAAAATCATTATTAATGAGTAGACTGGATTAAAAAGCAAAACATAAGTATTTGTTGACTTACGGGAGACATACTTCACCAAAAAAGACCAGTAGAGAAACTATATCTCATGGATTTTAATTTTTTTTGTCAATTTCACCTCTTCACTTTCTTATTAAATTCTTCATAAATCATAAATCATACAGTAGCATCATTTTCTTCAAGAAGGTTCTTGATTTTCTTTTTCGTTTCTTCAGTGATATATTAGTCATTCGGTAGCATATTTTTCTTTAAGATTTATTTTATTGTTATTACAAAGTCAGATACAAAGAGAGGAGGAGAGACAGAGAGGAAATGGAGCTGCCAGGATTAGAACTGGTGACCATATGGGATCCTGGCGCATTCAAGGCGAGGACCTTAGCCACTAGGCCATGCCACCAGGCCCGGTAGCATGTTTTTTAACATCATGATATTGTTAATTTCTTTTTTCTTCCTGTTGTTAATTTTGTTTTGTGTCTTTTCATTTAAGGGGATGTATAGTAACTGTGTAATGGAGACTATCATATCCAGATGTGAGGATACAATGCAGGGTGCGTCTCTACTTCCAGACAAAGATGGACTCCCAACAAAACTGTTTACTATGTCATGACAATAGGATGCTGGACTCTCATTGTCCATGCCCGCAATGATGGACATACGACTGTGTATGAAGAACTATACTAATGATATAGGGGAACCCAGTGATGGGGGGAAGGGATTTGGGGAGGGGATAAGGGAAATCCCAGGGCCTATGGAACTGTATCATAAAATAATAATAATATGACAAAGAAGAAGTAAAATTTAAAAATAGAATAAAATAACATTTTTAAAACAAGCAACTACTAACCCAAGGGAGAAAAGCATCAGAAGCAAATTTCCTGTACTTGGCAATCCAATAATTTATACAACCATCAGAGAAATACTAGATGAAAAAATAAGCCTCTATGTATGCTAAGAGAGCA